GTACGTCGTTATCTCCCCTGCCCGGAGATGTACGTGTCCGCAGCGGACAGCAGCTGGCTTATGCCACAAGAACTCCAATTTTGTCCCATCTTTGGAATACCAAGTTGGCTCATGCCTTTACGTGACCGCAGCGGTCAAAGCAGCCAGCCATTTCGGCAAGGCACAAGGTGACCAGAGCGGTCAAAGCCAGTTTTAGGTTCATGGAACCTGTTGGACACTTAGGTGCACATACATCGTACACACTTCAACGAGGCAGGTCTTCCTAGGTTGTTGTAATGAGGTTTGGTTTCATCGGTTCCCGTCCCCTCCATTTGGTTCCCCTTTCACCTTTTCCCCTTCACACACACACACTTCTTTTCCTCTTTCTTTTCATGTCTTCCCTTGCTTCATGTCCGTTCATCTCACTCCTTTCGTTCTTTTGCGCGTACAATGGTCCGGGCCTTAGTGTGTACGCGCACATCTACTTTCAACTCAGGTGTTAGGTCGCCCAGGTCTCGACAATGAGGTGGGCTCATCGGTTGTCCCTGTGCACTTCGTTTCCCTTTCATTGCAACCACACACACTGTTGTCCTGTCTGTCTTCCTTGTCATGTCTTCATCCTTTTGTCCTTTCTGCGCGCACATTTGCACATTCGTCCTAGCCTTAATATTGCCTCCCCTCGGGGAGGCGTGTGTGTGTAACCCTTGGAGTCATAGGGATCCTGTTGGATTTGATGCGGCCTTTTTCCTACGCTTTTGGTATTTTAGTGCAGGGGGGCAGTGGTCCTTTCAGCAGTCACTGCCTAACAAAGACACTGCTGATCGGATGTGATATGACTCTGGGACGCCAGAGTCACGTACCTGCGATTTTTCTTTTCCTTTCTGAATGGCGAGAGGCTAAGCCAAGAACCTCACGACACGGTTTTGTTCAGAGCTTCGGTTCACTTTCTGCAGATGCGCACGAGCCGCCGTCACCCTTTTCGACTCGCTCGCCGTCTTCGACCTTGAGCTTTTGGCCTCACTTCTTCTTACAGGCCTCCAGGTTCTTTAGGACTTTCCTGGACCTTTCAGGATTTGGGTCTCTTAGGCTGGCGTGTGGCACCGCATTCACATCAGTACGCATATCCATGAGTGTGTGTTTATAGCAGTCTTTGTTCCCCCGAAGTGATGGGTTTCGGTTCATCTATGTTGCATGCACGCGTCAAGGCTGAAGCAAATGTGTTCGGTCCACGTGTACATGGAGGTCGCAACGAACTACAAACAAATCGCAGCAAGCCTCTAGACTCCAGACACCTCACAACCAGGCCTCTTGTGCACCTCTCTCTGCCTCGACTGCGCCAGTTGCAGTGAAGAGCCTCACACTTTGTTGGGTAGTGGCAAGTCTGGCAAGTTTCTGCTCGGCGGGAGTTTGCAGGGCGCACTTGAAAAGTGCAAAGCCCGGCAGCAGGGTGCCAAGACCCACCGTCAAAGCCCACCTTATGTCATGTCAAATCCGAATGCGCAAAGGCAAATGTGCAGCGCTTTGGTTGCAAGGTTTCGGTGACTGAGTAGCGAAACTGTGCAAGATCTGGCAGTCCAGAACTCTCCGGCCTGCGGCACATGAAGCGATGCGCAGTCAAACTGTCCACACAGCCTTCTTGAATCAAACAGTGCTTGGCAAAACAACTGCTCCGCTTCTGCAAAAGGGTGCTTTCAAGTCGAATTTGAAGTGTGTTTGGCCACTGCGCTACTTTTGTTAGTTTAAGCTGGAAATATATATATATATTATATGCACGGTAGCCGCAACAACTCAAGTCAAATGAAGCGGATGTTGAATCGAAATCGAAGATGGGATGGCGGTGCGATCCTTTTCCTCACTCTAAGGGCCTTTGCTCCAAAAGTCTTACGGAATCCACATACATACGTGGATGAGTACCTAAGAGTTCTCATGACTCTTGCATGCCACCTTTTTGGTGAATGTCTTCTCCACTAAACAGAACCAAAACACACAAAACCAAGAACACGACAAACAGGGATCAAACCTCCTTTTCTTGTGCTTGTATGTTGTCGTCATGTTGCTGTTGCTGGTCATTGCTGGTATTGGTGTTGTCCAATGGTGCTTGTCCCTTCTCCTTGCGTTTCTTGGCGGATGCCATGCATGGGTCATCGACAATTCGCCACATGTGATGCATCTGGTAAAAGAGCATCAGCAGCTTGTGCTCTTTGGCCTTGGTAAGGCCATTGGCCAATTGGGCTTCGCTGTGGAGGTTCACCATCTGAGCTTCCTTAACTGGCATCGATATCGGTGCGTTTCTCTGCTCCCTTAGCAACAACGACCTCAGTGACCAGTTTGTCAAACACATGCCTACTGTCCATTACAAGGCATCCTTGGATCTTGTTAACAAGGTCATTGGGGTTCCTTATGTTTAGGGGATGTCCCAGCAGCTCAGCCAGTTGAAAACGGCAATAGTAAATCAAATCTTCCGCATTCGCGGCAGCAAATGCTTCACTGGAACCTGGGCTTGTGCAAACACGTGTAATTCGTGATGAATGCCAAGCTATGATGGAGACTGCTGTACATTCTCCTTTAAGGAGTGACTTTGGCGTGATGCCAACAACTATGCCTTGTGTGCTTCCCCCTCTGCTTCTGTTCAAAGCTGCCGCATCAGCCCATGCTGTCACCATAAGTTCTTCCAGTGGAATATAGTGAATTTGCAATCGATGTGACTTCATGCTCTTCACATGTTCCAAAAGTCGGTTTGCTGTTTGTAGTGTGTCCACTGTACTCTGATTCACTTCAGATAACAGAAGACCAACCTCTGCGGAAAAATGAGGTGCGACTTGTTGCGCATGCCAGCTAATGCCACCTAGGAGTGCACGTAGTTGTGTCTTTTCGTACTCATCTGTGTGACTGTGTTTGTCTCTCTTCCGTGAAGCTCGAATTGGGATGTACTTCAAGTCCTCCACGTACTTTTCCTGTGACAAGGAATAGGAACCGTCCTGCTCTCGCTCAATCAAAACACCGCACTGTACAAATTTGTCCTGTTCCCAATCTGTCCAGCGGTATTCTGCTTTGATGGCCTTTTCCACAGCTTGCCAAACCTTGTCCTCAGGATGTCCAGAAAACATAAAGTCATCGACATGACCTGTACTGATTCCGTGGAGTTTTCCTTGTTTCTGTAATGTCCAACAACAAGGATCTGACCATGTACGTTTGAGTCCCAACTGTGCAAAGAATGTGCTGACTGAACGATACCATTCTAGCGGTGCATCAACCAGTCCGTTACATGCTTTCTTGACTCGCGTCAAGCTGTTTGGGGGTAACCCCATGGCGGCGCATATTTCCGGACATGGAATGCACAGGAGTTCATCGGGGTACTCTCTGGACTGCAAGAAAGCACCTGTGACATCCCCCTTCTTGGTCTGAAAGCCCATAGATGCACTGATCTGTAATTGACTCTGCCTGGACTGTCTTGTTGTAGTTGGGGAATGTGTAGCGCGTTCTTCATAGCGAGGGTCCTGGTAGCCTTGCAAGACTGCCCGCGCTTGCGCTTTCTTGGTGCCATCCGGCTTGACTTTCCATGTCAGAATCCAGGGCATCTTCACAGCCTGACTGCGGGATAATCCTGCTGTCTGTGCTATGGCTTCGAATGCCTTGGCTGAAAGGAAGTTGCTGACCTCCACATTCTTGGCTTCATTGAATTGTTTTCTCTCTTCTTCGGACATGTTCTTTTCGGAAACTTCAATGGCTCGTCTCTTCATTGCTGTCAAAAGTCTGTCATCGCTTGTTCTGACTGGTGTCTTGTTCCAGGCATGTCCACCTCAATCGTGAACAGGCATGCACTCTTGTCTTCAGCAACTTGTTCATCCACAAAGAATGACTGTTGTATCAATGTCGACCAATGTGGTGCTGCTTGAAAACCCGATGCAATGCCCTGACGTCCACGACTTCTGCTACGATTCCGGTTCCCCGCCGTTGACGGGCGTGGAGAAGGTATCTCCTCCCATGAATCGGTTGATGGAAGTCTCTGTCTGGATGAGGAAGATGTTCCTTCTGGTATGTGTTCTTGTTCATCCACACTTCGAGGTCTCTTGCTTTTCTCTGGTAGACGATGTGTTGGCTGCCACTAATGGTCTGGGTTGCCTGCCCGTCTCCATTCTGCTTCATCAGGTATCTCTGTAATGTCATCATATTCGTTGCCACCTAACTCATCGGCTATTCGAGGAAAATCCCACTTGGGCAATTGCTTGTCCTCATGTAGTTCCAAAAGAATAGTCTCTCGTTCTGTGGCAAGTCGAAGTTGTTCTGGGCAACATTTCAGCAATCGTCGACTTCTCACAAGCCATACTGAACTGTCTTTTCTTTTCGGTTGCTAGAATTCTTGCTGGTCCAATGAACCTTCCCTGTCCTATCTTGTCTTGTTTTGCATCTTCACCTGTCAACTGTTTCCGCCAAACGTAAACCAGATCGCCTGCTGTAAAATTCAACACTCTCCGGTGTGTAGAATGTGCTGCTCGATTGAGACGTTGTCTGTCCTGCCAATCAAGAAATGCCTTTTCTGCCGTCAGACGTCGTTGGTGAAAATTCTCCATGTCCAACTTTGGTGATCCTGTCAAACAATCTGCGGGAACTGTCCTGAGTGGAGTGAAAAATCTTCCACACTCATCTGGTGCACGACCCAGAATAATTTGCACAGGCGAAAATCCTCTAACCAATTCCTTATTGTTGAGGACTCTGATGGACTCTGACAATGCGTCTTGAGCGGTGATCTCCGGTTCTGCTGACACCAAATGCTCAAGAATGTGTTTGATGGATTGTATGGACTGTTCACAAATTCCAAGTTTCCAATGTGCCTCTGAAGGAATGATGGCAAGAAAAATGTGATTCTGGTCACAAAACTCCGACAGTTCCGCACTCCTGAAGGATCCGTCTGGATCCAGTCGGAGGGTATTTGGAACCTGAAAGTATTCAATCCACGATTCCTTGAATGTACTGATGAATTGCGCAGCCGAGATGTGCTTGTGTTTCCCTTGAGCCACAAATCGTGCCACCTTGAAACGTGAGCTCTCGTCCACACAAACAACAAACTGCCACTTCTCTTTCGTGGTGGGATGAAACCAGTGTCCAACATCACAACTCACCACCTGAAACCTCATGGGAATTGGTTCCAGGGAAGACATGTTCCTGGGCTGAGGCCTTTTCCGTTCTTCACAAACAGGGCATCTAAATTGCTCAGCCTCTTTCAAAACGTTTCTCGAAACTCCCCTACGTTTCAACGTTTGTATCAAGTGTCGGATCTGTCCATGTCCTGTGGCGGAATGTAAAAGAAACAGACGACGACGAATCTCCTCCTTGGTCATACGTTCACCTATTTCTTTCTTACGTGTGTCCTCGGCAAGTCCTTCTTGAAATGAAGATTCCTGTTGCACACAATGTCCACAAACAATCTGAGTTCCATGTTGGTTTCCTTCTCCACACATGCATATGGTTCCCTTCCCAAACATGTCCCCAAGGTCCAAACGTCCTTGAAGTTCAGCCAAAAGCATGTGGTTCTTTCCTCGTCCCAAAATGGCCTCACAAACTCTTTTCGCAAATTCCGGAGTGTAAAAGGCCGTTCGTGCGGTATTCGAACCTTCACACGGAACATGTTTAGTTTGGGGGAGGCGCCGACATGGCAAATCCAACCGTTCAGACAACAGCTTGTGGGTGGTCATCACTCTCCAACCTTTAGAAATGTACTGTTTGTGAACATCCCTGAGATTGACCTGGCAACCACGAGTCACAGACATGTACACCTGATACCTAGCCTGAAGCCTTTGAAGAAGGGGAAGTCGCCAGGCTTGGCAAGTCTCAGAAAGCTCCCATGAAACATGTGTGCCTCGTTGCACACAAAAGGCAAAGATGATCCCACGCCCCACATACTGCTTTAGTGCGCGCCGACTTTTTCTTCGAGCGCTGATCGTTGCTCTGCAGTCCTCTGATTGGGGTTCTGCGTCTGGCTGTATGGTCCGCAATCTGGTGACATCCAAACATGCTCCGGGTTCAACAACTCAATCTCAGAAAGAATTCCTTTGACGCCCGAACTAGTGGTGATATCAAAACCGTTCCACACAGCAACTCGTTGAGCAGAATTGGTGTCTTGGCTCAACTCCTGCATGGTAGAAGTCAAAACACTCTCGGAACCGCGCGCAACTTCCAGTAATATGCACCTACCAGAGGGTCTAAGATCTTCCACATGGTTCTGCAACAGCTCATTACACCTACGTTCCAAAAACTGGCATTCACCTCTTGACAACCGCAAACCCTCATGGTCATTGGGTGGCCTACCAGGTGCAGCTGGAATGCTAGGGTCCGAGCCTGGAGAACTAAGCTGGCCTCCCGGGCCACTGGGTTCCATCTTCACGATGGAGTACTCGGAGGATGGAATCTCCGAGGCTGCTGCCTTCTTGCGAGGCATTTCCGGAGAGCGGCTCTCCCGCATATCCTTCATCTCGCTCTTCAGCTCCAGAACTGCGGCCTTGGTCTTGGCCTTGGGTCCTGCTCGGAGGTAGCCCTGCTGGACCACTTCCTCGCGAGTCACATTCAAGGGCTTGATCTTGGGAGTCTCCATCTTGGCCTCCGTGGCCTTCTCGAACCACTTGGCGAACCTGACAAGCCGGGTCGCACTGGCTCGGATTCTCTAGGAGGGCGTCGATCGCCCAGGCGCCGTACTGGTAGTCCGTCTGGAGGGCTTCCTGGTAGGTCAGGGATGAGTGTTTCCCGAACCCCATGGCATCCTCCGGGGATGCCTGGGCCTGCTCGTATGCCGCCAGAATTCCCCAGCTCGTCTCGACAGAAAGCTGCCAAGTCGCTCTTCCGCGCGGCCGCGGCATTGAGCTTGATCATCAGCTGGCGCAGGGGGGTCTTCTCCTTGATCTTTGGGTTCGGAGTCAACCCATGAATGAGCCTTTCTGAGCTCTTCCATCCGCACCTGCATCTCCGCGTTGGTCCATGACTTGGGAGGCAACTCGCCCATGCTTATGAGCTCCATGAGGATCTCCCCTCGATTCAGAGCCATGCTGGGTGACTGCCTGAGGTCCGGTCTGGATCCAACTTGCTTGATCACGGTGAGTGGCTGTGGTATGTGGTTGTTCAATGTGTGGTGCATGGTCAGTACGGTACGTGGTATGTTTGTCCAGAGGTTTGATCGTTTCTTCAACAACATCAAAAACAACATGCCTACCGCTCACACCAGAAACAACACACGCCGGCTACCTAAATCATCAACACGCTCGATACGATCACTCTCAAAAAGACTCTCCTCTTGAAGACATTCACCTTCACTGCTGCTTCCTAAGCCCAAATCTCTGACCTTCCTTCCGCTCTCGGGCGAACTCACGAAGGCTGGGGACTGGCTCCTTGCCCTGCTCAGGAATACTTTGCAGCGGCCGTGAACCCCCTGTTGGACCACCTGGCTCAACCGCTTTGGATTTAACAGCACTGGGCTCTCCTCACTCTGCGACATGGGGCCACTTTAGGACTCGTCTCTTCCTCATGACTCGTTGAGCTACGCGGCGAGGTCAGGGTTGCCTTTTTGGCATTGGAGTACCAGTCTTCCGCTAAGGGCAGCGGCTGGTGGCCTGTACTGGAGCGTTCCAGGGATATGATCTTGGTCGCATCCAAACCCCGAAACACCACCAGATCTTCTTTGAAATCTATCACAGCTCCTAAACTACGGAGTGTCTCAATTGAAAAAAGGATTGGTCTGGCCCCTCGGTCGAGGGTGTGAACCTTGAGCTCACCCTCTCGACCATTTGCAAGCACCTTCAACCAGGCAGTGCTGAGGCAACGGTCCACGCTGCTGTTCCCAAAACCAAGAATGGGTCGCTGCTCACTGTCAACACACTTGATACCAGAATCACCCCTTGACTTCTGGTTCAAATCCATGACTTGCTCAAGAGCCTTTACACTGCCTAAGGTGCGTGTGGCGCCGCCATCTCGGATCACCTTACCCTGCAACATGGCCTGCTCGGATGTCAATCCGGAAGCGACCACATGAGCTGAATTTGTGCCCTCACTGTCTAAAGACTCAGTGAAACACACAAAAGGAGCGGTCTCCTGATGCACTTCATTCGCATGCTCTGAGCTCTTCTTGGGGCATTGAGCTGTTCGATGGCCAGCGGATCCACACTTGAGACAATTGACAGAAGAATTCTGTTTGTCTGCTCGCCAGTTCGGGTTCTTCGGTGGGCTCATGCGATAGTACTGGCGGTTCATCTTGACTTGGTGCTGCTTTGCTCTGGCTTCCTTCAAGGTGCGTCTGCCCTTCTCGATCATAGCCAGGGCTTCCTGGGCATTCTCCTCGGCTTCTTCCGTGAGTTCCCTCATGTACCAACATGCAGAGGTTGATCTTGTCATCCTCGGGATCAGCATCTGAGCGGTCTTCTGCTGCCCAGGCTGAGGCTCTTCCATGATGGTCCTTGTTCTTGAGCTCGTGGTCGGGCCACAGACTGCGAAGTTCCTGCGCAACTCTCTCCACAGAAAAATCATCTTTCAGTGCCGTCATGATGAGGTTCCGTTCATGTACTTCAAGACCTGCGTCTTGCAGAAGAAACCAACCTTGGACAAAGGATGGAAGCAGCTCGACGGTCTCATACTTCCAGGAAGTGGACTTCCTGGCTGAATGGGATGCATTCCCTCTTGTACGTGACCAGTTTGAACACTGCCAGTCATGATGCTCCCAATCCCCTGATTGCCACCATGATTGGTCACCCCAGTTCCACTGCTCACCATGGTCTGCTGAATCTTCATCAGCCTCCTCTGCGTCATAGTAACGATCATCTTCTTCTCGAGCTTCATGTTCCATCTGTCCTGTTGTACTGTTATCATCCCAGGGAGCACTTCCGGTTCCCCACTGGCTTCCCCCGGGTGTGTAACGATGCTGGACTCTTTCAAGTGTCTGACAAGTCCTGGAATACACTTCTGACTTCCGAGTAATATAGTCGTTCATAGCCTCATGCTTGCGACGCTTGGTCTGCTTGAAATACTTCTGCATGTACTCGGACATCTCTGTCAGCTGTGGTTGTCCCAGGTGTTGTCTGAGATGGTTCAATAGTCGGTCAACTCCACCTTCAAGTGAAATCCACCCGGGCTTCATGGACATCACAAAACGTCTTGCTGTGCCTGTCAACTCTGCTTGTAATTTGGGTCCACATAGATACCTCTTGTGTCTAGCAACTGACTGTTCCCAATGTCCAGCCATCTCAGCAAACTCTTGAAAGGTGGCTGCATTGCCATCCCAGCATGGTACACCTTCTCTTGTACGTTCTATCTGAGAAATGCCTTTCTCCATGCTACCGTCTTGAACTCTTCAATGGCCTGGCAATTGAAGATGTAGGTCCCTGAATCTATGGAGCCTCCTGGCAGAGGCTCCGCTACCATGCACGGTAGCCGCAACAACTCAAGTCAAACAAAGCGGATGCCGAATCGAAATCGAAGATGGGATGGCAGTGCGATCCTTTTCCTCACTCTAAGGGCCTTTGCTCCAAAAGTCTTACGGAATCCACATACATACGTGGATGAGTACCTAAGAGTTCTCATGACTCTTGCATATATATATATATATATAAACCTATGCTAGCATGATCTAGACTGGAAGCAGCGTCACACAAAACCTTGTAATCAATGTGATTTCAATGATACTGAACATAAACCAATGCGCCTGGGAACCTGTCTCTTGGGGCGTGCAAGGTGCAAAACCTGTTTGCTTTCCAAGCATCAGCAGCGTAACCTTTGCTTGCTTTGAACAAATAACTAACTAGTCTAAGCCTCATGCAGAGCGGAACATCCCCTGCCAGGACATCGTGCGTCTTTAAACTCAGAATGTCGCTTTCTGAGGCCCTAGCTGCTCTCAATGAATGCCAGAGTCTTTGCCAGTGAATAGACCCCACAGGGTCAATAGTTTCAACACAGTTCCGTTCGCAACTTGTGACAAAACTGAGAAAACGAGATAAAGGAAACCTAGCTGGTCACTGAACACAAGTAGGGGGTTTAGCACTCACTGAGCCTACAGTGTTCATGTACCCCCCTTCCAGGCTTGAGAAATTGAAAATGTCAATATCAAACTGAGGTTGTTAGATGAGCCACAATACAAACATGTCCAATGCTAAACTGAAAACACAGGGCATCGTTTGGTCTTCAATCGAAGCTCAAGCACTTTAGGTTTTGGCATCTAAGCAGTTGTCCGCAAGAGCATTAGCGACAAGCAATGCACAAGACCGCTTGCCGGCATGCACAAACGCTAGCGAATCAAGTCAATGAGGTCCTTTTTCTTCAAAACTTGTTTGTCAAAGTCCCAAGTTTGCTGCCTCACCTACCTAAGTCAGATCAAAGCCAGTTTGAGCAGTCTGACATAACACGCTCTGAAAGCTCTATTGACACTTTCGAATCTTTAGGGGCAAGGCAGAATGCGTTTCCAGCTGTGCTTTCAGCTCCTGGGTGTTAAAAGCTGAGTTGAGCATGTTCTCTTAGAAGAGACAAGTAGGGAGACAAGTCGGGGAGACAGGACACCACCTTCTGGTTTACCTTTCCTCAGCCTTTGTATGATAGCAGAGAAACGTGGTGCGACATGTCATTGACATGGAGGGTTCTGCTCAACCTTCTACCGCGTGCTGCAATCGGCACCGCCTTATCTTGGTCATGGTTCATGAGGTCAACAAGCTCCGCACATCACAAACCAGCTCTAGAAAGCTTTTGCTGATGATACGTCAGCGAAAGACCACCATTCATCAGGGCAGCACATTGGTGAGTTGGCACAGTCCCCATAGTACGGGAAGACGGCATATGGTATCGCACAAGTGGCATGCAACAGGCACATTGATGAAGCCATTCCACAACAATTCTTGAGCCTTGCTCAACCTGCCAAGATACTGGGCACATCGAGCTCGGACGCGTAAAGTCACGGAACTCGAGTTCACGAGAAAAGCGAGAGCAAATGGCACGGTGGCTCGAAAAAAGAGCCTTGCGCAAACTTGTCACCATCTTGTTGGCCATTTCCCCGTGGCTTCAGCCAAACATGAAGCGTCTCTAAGACAGGCAAGCTCACCCAAAAATGAATGGTAGCAAAAAGCAATCAAGATGTCCTACGCTTTCCCAAACTTATCCAACAAAACGATCTCCAAAATGAACAGGGCTTCAAAGTGACGCCCTGGTCTCTGATAGCAGGACAAAAGCGTAACGCCACAAGCCAGCCTTTCCCTTGCGGGAGCCCACTTAATTCTCACTTTGAACACGTGGTCTGACCCGCATGGGGCGTTTTCAATCGGTAGCGGAGCTCCTATGGGCGATGAGCACATGCCAAATCTGACACGCAAGACTTTAGAGTTTTTGTGACGCCACGGCATTGAGTCGAGCGTGTGGAGTGAGCCCTGACACTGGAGGAAGTCAGCCAGAGCACTACACCTTGCGGTCCACACATGAGAACAAACATGTGTGTTTTGTCGTTCAAAGAGACAACGAGCCAGTCGACGACGACGACGACAACAACAACAACAGAGCCAGTTAGCTCCTTTGCAGCAGCATGATCCTCGGGCATAGTTTTTCAATTGGCCTGGACATCAGCTCCCAAAAATGGACAAAAGTGGTGGCGCTTGCTCTCGGCACCGCTGTCTGTCATCCAGTTGTTATTGTAACTTTGGCGTTGTCATGGGGGTAGCGGCGAATTTCCTGGCGTCGATCACATTGGCTTCGAGTTGGGGCTTCACAACTTGGGAAGCACTTGCTGGCAAGATGTACATTGCTGTGGCACAGCGGGCTGCGGGCCGTTTTGCAATTGCGGGGGCAGTTTGCTCCTTTGATCTTTGTTCTGCTGCAACAGGGATATGACAAGCAGGGCGACGCGCAGTTGAAATTGCCAGCACAGCGCAGGAAGTTGATCAACGGTTTCCTTTTACCCTTCCAATGCTGGTTTTTGCAAAGATCCATGGGAAAATATGTGTCTGCAAGCCTTGTTGGAGTAATGGTCCACACATCATAGCTGGCATGAAAACCACATTCACCGCAGGCGATAAACTTGTTCGCAGGTGGCAGCTTGACTGGACACGAGTTTGGGAGACTTGTGTGCATCTGCCATGGTTCTCGGTACTGCTGCAGCTGAATCAGGGCAGCCCGGGGCTGTGTGCACACGGCCCTCCACTCACCGACCACACATGGGCTTGAGAGCGTGAGCAGCCAGTCAGCTTGGTGGGAGGCGCTTTGGTCGAAAATCGATTTATCAAGGATCAACCCCAAGAATCAACACAGAGACAGCACCAGAAAAATCCGCAAGTGGGTAACCCAGCCATATACATAACTGAGGGAGGGCGAATGGAGTCGGTCAAGATTTTCCTCCTTGTTGGTTCTTCTTCTACTACTACTACTGCTACTCCTACTACTACTACTACTACCACTACTACTAACAACTACAACTACAACAACAACTACTACTACTACTACTGAAACCTACTACTAAACTACTACTAACCTACTACTAACCTACTACCCTACTACTAACCTACTACTACCACCACCACCACTACCACCACCACCACGACGACGACTACTATACTACTACTACGACGACGACTACTACTACGACGACGACCACGACTACGACTACTACGACGACCACGACTACGACTACGACAACAACTACTACTCCTACTCCTATACTCCTACCCCTACTACTACTACTACTACTGCTACTACTGGTACTACTACTACTACTACTACTCCTGCTGCTGCTGCTGCTGCTGCTGCTACTGCTACTGCTACTACTGCTACTACTGCTACTCCTCCTCCTCCTGCTGCTGCTGCTGCCACTACTCCTACTGCTACTACCTCTTCTTCTTCTTCTACTACTACTACTACTCCTACTACTACTACTACTACTCCTACTACTACTACTACTACTACCACTACTACTACTACTACCACCACTACCACTACTACTACTACTACTACACCTACCACTACTACTACTACTACGACGACTACTACTACTTCTATCACTACTACTACTACTACTACTACTACTCCTGCTACTACTACTACTACTACGACGACGACGACGACGACGACATCGACGACGACGACACCGACGACGACGACGACGACCACGACCACGACCACGACCACGACCACGACCACGACCACGACCACGACCACGACCACGACCACGACCACGAC